ACTACTACCACTACTACCACTACTACCACTACTACCACTACTACCACTACTACTACTGCTGCTACTGCTGCTACTACTACTACTAAGGGGGCTGATTGGGATGGGTTTTAATGATGTGAAGTGGTAGGTAATGTTAAGTGACCTTGGTTCTGCCTGAAGTGAAGTTTCAGTTAAGGTTTCAGAGTTTCAGTGGATTGGGACCGCTCAAGTTCAAGTTAGACTCGATCACCCACCAATCTCACCCATTCCATACACTTCATTCCCTCCAAATGTTTCAGAGTTCCCATACAAAATTTGAAACCCCAACTTACAATGACAGTGGCTGGCCTGCCTGTCATGCCTTGAAACCGTCCCGTCCCAGTCTGCTCGTCGCCTGAGCCTGATTGGCGGCCATGGAGGCTTCCCAGGTCTGGTACCTGCGGGCGGTCAGGACGGGCTTCCAGGTGGAGAGGAGGTCTCCTCCGCCCAAAAAACACACCGAACAACGAAATGAACTGAGAAATCATGACGTGAGAAATCGTGAACTCTCTTCGGACGCCTCATGAAGGGTCAGTTTGTTGGAGTATGGGGGTGAATTTCTCCGCTTGTTGGTGCCACAAATCGCGAAAAGTCAGGTTCTTCGAAGGCGTGGTGGTCGCAGTGGATCAATTCTGCGTGCGAATCGAGTGCACAGCCGACAGGTCTAACACCCTGTCCTCGTCTAACACGTCCTCGTACCTGTGAGGGTCTTCGTCTCAGAAACCCATCCAGAAACCCAAGTCTACATGGTATGTGTTTTTTGTTCAGAAGACTGCAGGATGTATATATATATATATGCATATGATGTAACTATTGCTGTATCATTATAGTTAATAGTAATTACATGTTCCACCATGTTCCCACAGTAAATCCTCATCAACAATGATCCCAAGTGAACTCTATTGCAGCAAGATCCGCCATGATGCTAGACTAAGGCGATGAAGACCTTCAACTAACCTGACAACAGCCCACATATCACCGCGACCACCACGAAGGGGTTAAAACTATGTGTATATATAAATATATCTGTAAAGTGGTAGGAGCCACAACAATCAGATGCAATGTACGAAGTCC